GTTTTTTGCTATGAATCCTAACAATTCCTGATTGTTAACAGAATCTTAACCAAACCTGATTTCATTTTCTACTTCTTCTTCTGCAGAGCTCTTCCTCCTCCTCATCTTGTGTGCAATCACCTTCTGCCTGAGGATCCCACTTGCTGTCCTTCTCAGTCAAACTATCGTCAGGTCCAGTGCTGTTCCATATAAAGTAATCTTCTTGTACTTCCTGCCCATCTTTCTCTTCATCACCTGGGGCTTTTTCAACAACTTTCTGTTATGACAGAAAAAAAAAAGAAAGGAAAGGGATTGGACTGCATTGTATATTGCTTTCATAAACCCTACAGCTCTGTCCTGGAAAACAATTATTTGATGATACGAACATAAAAGTAGCCATTGATAATGATTCTATATTTTGATTATCACTTGCTTGTAGCAAGGTTTCAGGAATGACTCAGGACTTATTGACAGGTATTTATAACAGTCTTGGTTGACACATACATGTACAAGCAGTGATTAACTATTAATAATAACATTGGATAGAACAACCTCTTTAACACAAGTTAAAAAGAATACAATATTTTTACGTAGTACTCACACTTTTTAATTCTCTGACATTCTGCTTCAGTTCTGTGATTTTTCTTCTCAGGCACCCATTGGTCTTTTGTAGACTTCTGTATTTCCTTTTATGTGCACAGTCACTCCCACAAGAGTTGCTACTCACAGATAACCTTGGCGTCACTGCTGGAGATGGGGTGCACACAGGATTTGCTGTAGTGAGAGGGGTGGTGCAGGTAGTTATAACCATGTCAGAGGCAGTGGCAGTAGTGCTTGAGGTTGGGCTTGCGCTTGGGGTTGTCATGTCCATGGCAATGGTGGTATTGCTGGCAGTTGAAGCTGTTTCTGTTTGAATGCTAGACGTAGTAATAGCATCTGACTAAGTTGGATCGCTGCAACCACCTAAAGCAACTAAATCTATGCCTTCAGTGACTTCTTCCACAGTACCTAGTTTCCTTTTCTTCCAAGCCTCCATTTTTCTCCAAAGGCATCTCGCCTTAGCTGTTTAAAAACGAAAAACATCAAATTTGTTGCACAGGTGTGTATATCACTGCATACTAAGTTTCAAAATTTACAGATCGCGAGCTTCACGATACAACACCCTGTTCTTATCAAGCTTAGTCCACTGTCATGTTAATTTTTCTTTCCCGCCGTTGAAACGTCTTGTTGAATAATCACAAAATAAACCATTGTTAGAAGACAGGAATGTGAAGCGTGGTAAACAAAACTACAGTATGCACGAAAAAAATAAACTGAACTTCATCTTTGACTTCTAAAAAGGGGTTTTTGGCAGGCATATCCTTCAACAGCTTCATGCACAAACTTAAATGCTTCAAGAAGCGGTAAGCTACAGACTGTAAGCCCACTGTATAAGGTTCAACGTGAACAGAAAATATTCACTTACTTGTCGCTTTTTCCGTTCAGTCAAAACTTCAGGTCCTTCAGGAAGAACAGTGTGTCTTGTAGGAATAGAACCTTTAACTAGGTCAATCCCATGGACCAAGCTAGGTCATTCTCAAAACAACTCTGCTCGAAATGAACTGAACACAACAAAGTATATTTCACAACTGGTTCGGCAAAATCCATGCGATGCCTCTGGATGAATTTAACCCATTTCGCCCTAACTGTCGGATTTTTCAGGAAATCGTGCATCATTACGCCTGGTGTGTAACTAGTATTCTTGCAACTTTGACCATTCGGCGCTCCAGCCACACAATATCGACCCCCATGCTTCAAGTGTTTCCCTTCGCCTTCAGCCATGTTGGTTTGTTTATCAAACACAGTGANTGCAGAGCTCTTCCTCCTCCTCATCTTGTGTGCAATCACCTTCTGCCTGAGGATCCCACTTGCTGTCCTTCTCAGTCAAACTATCGTCAGGTCCAGTGCTGTTCCATATAAAGTAATCTTCTTGTACTTCCTGCCCATCTTTCTCTTCATCACCTGGGGCTTTTTCAACAACTTTCTGTTATGACAGAAAAAAAAAAGAAAGGAAAGGGATTGGACTGCATTGTATATTGCTTTCATAAACCCTACAGCTCTGTCCTGGAAAACAATTATTTGATGATACGAACATAAAAGTAGCCATTGATAATGATTCTATATTTTGATTATCACTTGCTTGTAGCAAGGTTTCAGGAATGACTCAGGACTTATTGACAGGTATTTATAACAGTCTTGGTTGACACATACATGTACAAGCAGTGATTAACTATTAATAATAACATTGGATAGAACAACCTCTTTAACACAAGTTAAAAAGAATACAATATTTTTACGTAGTACTCACACTTTTTAATTCTCTGACATTCTGCTTCAGTTCTGTGATTTTTCTTCTCAGGCACCCATTGGTCTTTTGTAGACTTCTGTATTTCCTTTTATGTGCACAGTCACTCCCACAAGAGTTGCTACTCACAGATAACCTTGGCGTCACTGCTGGAGATGGGGTGCACACAGGATTTGCTGTAGTGAGAGGGGTGGTGCAGGTAGTTATAACCATGTCAGAGGCAGTGGCAGTAGTGCTTGAGGTTGGGCTTGCGCTTGGGGTTGTCATGTCCATGGCAATGGTGGTATTGCTGGCAGTTGAAGCTGTTTCTGTTTGAATGCTAGACGTAGTAATAGCATCTGACTAAGTTGGATCGCTGCAACCACCTAAAGCAACTAAATCTATGCCTTCAGTGACTTCTTCCACAGTACCTAGTTTCCTTTTCTTCCAAGCCTCCATTTTTCTCCAAAGGCATCTCGCCTTAGCTGTTTAAAAACGAAAAACATCAAATTTGTTGCACAGGTGTGTATATCACTGCATACTAAGTTTCAAAATTTACAGATCGCGAGCTTCACGATACAACACCCTGTTCTTATCAAGCTTAGTCCACTGTCATGTTAATTTTTCTTTCCCGCCGTTGAAACGTCTTGTTGAATAATCACAAAATAAACCATTGTTAGAAGACAGGAATGTGAAGCGTGGTAAACAAAACTACAGTATGCACGAAAAAAATAAACTGAACTTCATCTTTGACTTCTAAAAAGGGGTTTTTGGCAGGCATATCCTTCAACAGCTTCATGCACAAACTTAAATGCTTCAAGAAGCGGTAAGCTACAGACTGTAAGCCCACTGTATAAGGTTCAACGTGAACAGAAAATATTCACTTACTTGTCGCTTTTTCCGTTCAGTCAAAACTTCAGGTCCTTCAGGAAGAACAGTGTGTCTTGTAGGAATAGAACCTTTAACTAGGTCAATCCCATGGACCAAGCTAGGTCATTCTCAAAACAACTCTGCTCGAAATGAACTGAACACAACAAAGTATATTTCACAACTGGTTCGGCAAAATCCATGCGATGCCTCTGGATGAATTTAACCCATTTCGCCCTAACTGTCGGATTTTTCAGGAAATCGTGCATCATTACGCCTGGTGTGTAACTAGTATTCTTGCAACTTTGACCATTCGGCGCTCCAGCCACACAATATCGACCCCCATGCTTCAAGTGTTTCCCTTCGCCTTCAGCCATGTTGGTTTGTTTATCAAACACAGTGACGTCACAGACGTAAATCATGTGACATTTTGGCCGCGCGATCTCTGGGACAATTTCAACATGAAAGTAACGCATATTTCGAATGAAAAAAAAGGGGTTTCAAAATATTCTCACGATCTAAAAACTCTACCACCATTTTTCTAACATTATTAACTACCAGAATCAGCGGAAAAAATAAATTGTGTCATATACACTTTAAACAAACATTAAAGTTTACACCTTATGGCGTTATGGTGTTATGGCTTAGTGCATCAGTGCCTTAGCGAACAGCAACCCCCTAAACCATCCCAATAGTGCACTCTGCACTAAAAAGGATCTGTCCAATTCCGCTTCAGCGTTCATCACAGGTGGCTGTTCTAATTTTCGATTAGAATCTGTCACTTGTGTTGTGCTTTCCAGTCTTGCTAGTAATTGGAACTAGCCAATGTCAACGCTTGGCTAGTAAATATTTTTTGGCTAGTAACATCTAAGTTGTCACTAGCTACTAGGGTAGAAGATTGAAAAGTTTAATAGTGTTGAGCCCTGGTTGAACTTCCTCGGACCAGGGTGTCTAGAAAACAAAGACCGAAGACTGAAGACCCCTAGAAAATGAAGACCCCGTTGAAAATGTAGACCTCGAAAACAAAGACCCCTCCAACTTCTATCTGTAAGGCGAAAGATTGATGTCACAATGCTTCGATCGGAAACAACCTAATAAATGATAAATTTTATGAAAGTCGTTGTGACAAGTCTTGCCAGGGTGCTACAATAATAATATACATATTATATTATAATATATAATATGTATTAATATGTACTAATTCCTGCAAAGCGAGAAGTTTTTCTGTAGGAAGACATGCCCCCCGAGCCACAGAGTCCAATTCGATACCTAAGACCACACGTCAAGATGAAGGACCTACACACTTGTTGGGGTGAAGGGGGAGGCCTAATCATTTACAAACTGCCACAGAAGTTGCCAGGTTTAGAGCAGATTGGTTAAAGTTGGGAGGGAAGTCATCTAAGTATTGCAGGAGATCTGACACATGGTAGGGACTGAGGAGGATCCACTTCACCATGTCAACCATGGAATAGAAGACATATGGGGGAGAACAGAGCCCAAAAGGGAAGAGCTGAGTCCACATAGACCAGATTCTGCCACTTCACACCCAAGAGGTAATGATGGGATGGATGCAATACTTTGTTGCAATGTGCAAGCACGACATCAAATTTGCCATCAAGGATTTTGGACTGTACTTAGCAACCATGTTAATGATTTGGTCAACTCTGATTTGCAGCAGTGCAGAGTTAATGCCATAATTCTTCTTAAAATTAATGGAAGTAAAAATGTATCCTGTTTACTTGATCTAGCGTTACGTTTGCATTACACTTGTTTGGTTTGGCCATGGATACCTTCGCACTAAACAAGGGACACGAGGCAGCTTTTGATTTACCTGGTCCTGGAGTTCGAATGCCTCCACCACATGGGGCTTTTCAGGTAACAGTATACCTTCAGGTCGGCAATTTTCTTCAAATTTGGATTTTTGGGTCAACATAGTGGTCGAAGAATAATCTCTATTTCCTGAAAAAATGTTTTGAAAAAGAGTAAATATTGGCAGAGAAATGGTGGTTTTACATTTTCGCTGGAAGTAAAAGTTTGTCTCTTGATTGACAGCCCTATGGCATATATCCAATCAACCAAGAAGATTTTCACAGAAATTACCTAGATACAGATACTTAATTGATCAGCATTGTTGTTCTGACTACCAAGCATTTTTGGTACATGTATTAGGTGTAAGTCTATTAAGTTATAAGTAAACGTAGACCACGTTAAAAACATGGACCAGTTCAAAAAAGCGAAAACAGTGAAGAACGAATGAAAATACATCAATGAGTGAAGAAGCAAAAGTTCGCCACATGGATTAAGCTATAGCTATCATATAAGGCCAGCAAAAAAATCAAGGTAAGAGAAAGAAAGGTTCTGTAAAAATTTGGAACTTGACAGCAATAACAGGGATGTTGACAGAGACTCCGATGAATCTGATATCGACGAATCATTGGACTCATTGAGACCCATTGAAATATTATCCATGCAGAGTTGTTTTATTTGTTTTCTTCACCCAGCCATTCAAAAGTTCGTATCCTTTTTCGTCTCCTTCATTATGCCAGTGATCAACTTCAAGAAAAACCAAGCCACAGAAAAATTATCCCTCCGCCTTCGGCACCTTGAGCGCATTGCAGACAAGGTTTTTTGGAGATTTACGCATAAATTTCACNGTAACCTGAATAGAAGAAATGTGCCAATACAATTTCCTGAATGTTGCAAACATGGAGACTTACAAGTGTAAAGGGAAAAGCATTTTAAAATTGTGAATTTGATCATCATCATCAACTGAACTGAGTTACATGTAGCATGTGATTGAGGAGCACAGAAAAAAAAGTAGTTTAAGATTTTAAAAACTTACCATAAGTGGGAGGGCATGCCACCTCTCGAACCACTTCTTCTCCCAGTTTAAATTTAGGGTATGTTACCCATATATACTCCTTCCCTTCTTTTGATAGCTGTGTTTCTCTGTGAATATTCTCATTGAAATGTAGGCTTGCCAAAATGTGCCTGTCAAAATAAAATGAAGATGTTGAAAAATAAAATAAACATGCTTCTGCGCAACATTATCTGCACAGTAGGCTTTGTATTTACAATGCAAAGTCAACATGACACATTGAAAATATTAAGATTTCAAAATAGAGTACTAAATACTAAAGATAAAAAACAGTCCATGGTGCCACTAGATGCAGAAGTAAACAATGTGATTATCTAAACCACAGCACCAACCTGCAGAGAGATCCAAGCCAAGAGTAGCAAATCAACTTTGGGTGCCAATAGTTTAATGTTGCATGGAAGCCTTCCAGACAACTGGTGTGGGCATCTGGTGACAGCTTTTTGATATCATTGAGTAGAATCTTCTTGGTCAACAAGCTCTCGAGTTTGTCATAAGCTGCCATTCCTGTCAAAACATACATTTGTAATCATCATTTACTAGACTAAATGTCTGATGAAAACAACAACATTGTACAACCTACATGGAACTTGTTCAAATGGTTATGCAAAACCAATACAATGTGTATTGTGACTTGACATGATATGCACTATACAGCACACACTGAAAAATGCTTACCAATCTTTATCCACTTTCTTGGTGCAAGATCATCATGGTGACACTGTTTGTAGAGTGGATCAGGATGATTTGTATGTTTATTAGCCACATGATGCATAAATGAATTCCATTTTGCTAGGATGAGGGATTCAAAACCAGCTTTTGTGGATGTGGTACACCAGTACACGTCATCGTATTCCCTTCATCCAATCTTTGATAATTTTGCAACCTTTTTCTTTACTTGCATGCAATAGCTTTTTGGTAATTGACCTTGCAACATGCCAGATCTCAAAGTAATGTTTTGTACTTTCACAGTTCTCCCGAATCCATTTCGCTATTCCTCCGTGTCGGTCTGACACAAATATGGCAATGGATAAGCCAAGCCCATGTAAATAAGCAAAGCACCTCTTTGCCCCTTCCAGTTCAGTCTGCTGGCTACCACCTGTTTCATTGGCCTCAGAAATTAAAGGAAAAGCAGTTAGACAAGAATATATATCAAATTCTTATGCATAGATCATACCATCATTTTCCAAGTGAAATTGGCTTACAAGCATTTACTACATGTTTATGTATTAACTACATGTACTTCCTGGCAAGCCACGTCACGGAAAATGATATTTGACCTTGGGCAGATTTGGTCAATAGTATGTTCTTGTAAAGGTAAAGGTTAAGTCTGTTACAGACCAAGTGGACCATTAGGCTGGAGCTTATCCCGGTTTCTGTAGCATGAACCGACTAAGAGTACTTCTACTCCCCCACCTGATCCCGGAGAAATGGCAGCATTGGTTTGATTTTCACTTTGCCTAAATAACATTTAGCCTCATTTAAAGAAAGAGAACCTGACTTACCTGAACTAACTCAAAGTGGACAATTTTCATTATTGTCGTGCAGAACATCGTGTAAATGCCATACTTAGCAGATTGTCCAACAGAATCAAAACGACCATCACCAGTCCATGCTACATCTTTCAATTTCTTGATCTTTGTGACTAGGTTGGCTTGGTATGTTTCCCAATGATGGAGGATAATGGGCAAAATGAAAGATTTCTGATGCCCGAAGAAGGTGCGGGCAGAATAAACATGGAGTCCCATGTGGTGAAACACCAGCAACACCTTGTTAATGGATGCTCCTGCCATCAACACTGCAAAACTCAACAAGATGTTGCCAATAGGGTATTTCCCACCGAGTGGTGGTGGCTGGGGTTTCCAAATGTAAGAATCCTGACATTGGGGACAACTCTGTGTCACAGTGATCATTGTACCATTCTGCTTGACTGTAGCTGATGGCCCACTTTCTTTGCATTTAAAGCAGAACAGGGTGAATAATTTGACTAACATGCTGTAAAATACAATAAATTTGGGCTCATCATAAGCTGGAGCATCTGGGTCAATCCTGCAAAAACAAGTGAAAGAAAGTTTAACAATCCTTGTATTCAAATCTAGGGTTGTATTTTGACGTGTACATCACTAGGACTTTTCCCAAAGAAAAAACTGTACCCCTTAACATGTTAAGATACATGTCTGTACATGTTGGTATTGTTCTAACATCCTTTACAAAGAGTGCATAGTATGAATATTGTCCCATTACTGCAATTGCTAGCACTTTTGAATGAATGAAGAAATGCTCCAGCAGAAGATTAGAAATCACATTAAAAATAAAATTCAATACGCAAAACAATCAAAAATACAGTAAGAGTTTTTTGCTATGAATCCTAACAATTCCTGATTGTTAACAGAATCTTAACCAAACCTGATTTCATTTTCTACTTCTTCTTCTGCAGAGCTCTTCCTCCTCCTCATCTTGTGTGCAATCACCTTCTGCCTGAGGATCCCACTTGCTGTCCTTCTCAGTCAAACTATCGTCAGGTCCAGTGCTGTTCCATATAAAGTAATCTTCTTGTACTTCCTGCCCATCTTTCTCTTCATCACCTGGGGCTTTTTCAACAACTTTCTGTTATGACAGAAAAAAAAAAGAAAGGAAAGGGATTGGACTGCATTGTATATTGCTTTCATAAACCCTACAGCTCTGTCCTGGAAAACAATTATTTGATGATACGAACATAAAAGTAGCCATTGATAATGATTCTATATTTTGATTATCACTTGCTTGTAGCAAGGTTTCAGGAATGACTCAGGACTTATTGACAGGTATTTATAACAGTCTTGGTTGACACATACATGTACAAGCAGTGATTAACTATTAATAATAACATTGGATAGAACAACCTCTTTAACACAAGTTAAAAAGAATACAATATTTTTACGTAGTACTCACACTTTTTAATTCTCTGACATTCTGCTTCAGTTCTGTGATTTTTCTTCTCAGGCACCCATTGGTCTTTTGTAGACTTCTGTATTTCCTTTTATGTGCACAGTCACTCCCACAAGAGTTGCTACTCACAGATAACCTTGGCGTCACTGCTGGAGATGGGGTGCACACAGGATTTGCTGTAGTGAGAGGGGTGGTGCAGGTAGTTATAACCATGTCAGAGGCAGTGGCAGTAGTGCTTGAGGTTGGGCTTGCGCTTGGGGTTGTCATGTCCATGGCAATGGTGGTATTGCTGGCAGTTGAAGCTGTTTCTGTTTGAATGCTAGACGTAGTAATAGCATCTGACTAAGTTGGATCGCTGCAACCACCTAAAGCAACTAAATCTATGCCTTCAGTGACTTCTTCCACAGTACCTAGTTTCCTTTTCTTCCAAGCCTCCATTTTTCTCCAAAGGCATCTCGCCTTAGCTGTTTAAAAACGAAAAACATCAAATTTGTTGCACAGGTGTGTATATCACTGCATACTAAGTTTCAAAATTTACAGATCGCGAGCTTCACGATACAACACCCTGTTCTTATCAAGCTTAGTCCACTGTCATGTTAATTTTTCTTTCCCGCCGTTGAAACGTCTTGTTGAATAATCACAAAATAAACCATTGTTAGAAGACAGGAATGTGAAGCGTGGTAAACAAAACTACAGTATGCACGAAAAAAATAAACTGAACTTCATCTTTGACTTCTAAAAAGGGGTTTTTGGCAGGCATATCCTTCAACAGCTTCATGCACAAACTTAAATGCTTCAAGAAGCGGTAAGCTACAGACTGTAAGCCCACTGTATAAGGTTCAACGTGAACAGAAAATATTCACTTACTTGTCGCTTTTTCCGTTCAGTCAAAACTTCAGGTCCTTCAGGAAGAACAGTGTGTCTTGTAGGAATAGAACCTTTAACTAGGTCAATCCCATGGACCAAGCTAGGTCATTCTCAAAACAACTCTGCTCGAAATGAACTGAACACAACAAAGTATATTTCACAACTGGTTCGGCAAAATCCATGCGATGCCTCTGGATGAATTTAACCCATTTCGCCCTAACTGTCGGATTTTTCAGGAAATCGTGCATCATTACGCCTGGTGTGTAACTAGTATTCTTGCAACTTTGACCATTCGGCGCTCCAGCCACACAATATCGACCCCCATGCTTCAAGTGTTTCCCTTCGCCTTCAGCCATGTTGGTTTGTTTATCAAACACAGTGACGTCACAGACGTAAATCATGTGACATTTTGGCCGCGCGATCTCTGGGACAATTTCAACATGAAAGTAACGCATATTTCGAATGAAAAAAAAGGGGTTTCAAAATATTCTCACGATCTAAAAACTCTACCACCATTTTTCTAACATTATTAACTACCAGAATCAGCGGAAAAAATAAATTGTGTCATATACACTTTAAACAAACATTAAAGTTTACACCTTATGGCGTTATGGTGTTATGGCTTAGTGCATCAGTGCCTTAGCGAACAGCAACCCCCTAAACCATCCCAATAGTGCACTCTGCACTAAAAAGGATCTGTCCAATTCCGCTTCAGCGTTCATCACAGGTGGCTGTTCTAATTTTCGATTAGAATCTGTCACTTGTGTTGTGCTTTCCAGTCTTGCTAGTAATTGGAACTAGCCAATGTCAACGCTTGGCTAGTAAATATTTTTTGGCTAGTAACATCTAAGTTGTCACTAGCTACTAGGGTAGAAGATTGAAAAGTTTAATAGTGTTGAGCCCTGGTTGAACTTCCTCGGACCAGGGTGTCTAGAAAACAAAGACCGAAGACTGAAGACCCCTAGAAAATGAAGACC